ACGGGTATTAGGGATAGTCAGGGAAAAGGGTATGGGAAAGCAAGGAGGACATGGCTCCTCTGGGGGAGAATGGGAGAGGGGGCAGGATACATTAGGATGGGGTATCCAAAGAGGGAGCAGGGAAGTTACCCTGATAATAGGTCAATATCTGTTATGCCACTGACTGCAACAAGCATATCAACAAAACATCTAATTCTTTAACACAGCCAAGCTTTTTTCCTTGGTTCTTGCCAGGGAAAGGCTGGGCACCCTTGGCACAGGACACTGGAGGTAGCAGGAAGGGGAGAAGCAGGTCTGGGCTTTGCATGCCCAGGGTCTGAAAGGGTTTACTTGTGTTTCAATCTTACTGAAATAAATGAGATTTAAGAAAAGGCTTAACTGCTGCACTCAATAGAGATGCTTTCTTGAATCAGGCCCTTCATCAAGAAATGTTAATTAGATGTATTTCCTTCTCAAGATGTCTGCCTGTGAGGATAATTTCATCATCTCTGAGGTGCTCAAGTACATTAGTGACAACACTACATAGCCACCTGGGCGGAGAGAGCGCTGAACCTCTTGGACCCCAGTTCTGCCACCAGTGCTCATGACAAATAACACATACATTTCTCCGAAATAAACCCCAACTACTTCAGCAAGACTGCTGCTGAATGCAGAACTGCTCCTCATGAGAAAGATGACAGACTCTTAACTTGGGTGGCCAACTCTTTCATACCAGGACTTCACAGACAACTCTGAAGACCACCATCATTCCAGCATCAGAGGTGCTACAGGAACACACAGTGGGTGCTCCACTTCCTCCACCTGCGTGGAGAAAAAAGTCACGTGCCTTTGGTGGAAAATAAACCCATGTAGTCAAATACCAGAGCAAGGTGGGGGAAAAGTCAGACAAATTAAATAGATGGAGCAGATTCCAGCACGCCCCGAAGGTCACTCCATGCAGGGTCTGCCCGAGGGAAGGTGGGAGTAGAGTCGTTCCCCCAGGGAGGGTGCCAAGCTACCAGTCCCTTCTCGATTAATCCTTGGGAGCAGGAGGCGGTGGAGAACACCCTGCCAATTGTAAATGTGGTGATGGGGCATTGGGGGCATATATACGCTTCATTAGTCATCCGCAAGAATTTTGTTTTTGTAACCTCTGCATTTTTATCTGTCACTTCAAGCAATAAATATGCACTCCTGCCAGTGATTTGACATTACACTTGCTTTGGATGATTGCCTTTCCCAAATATTAATAGTAACTCATTGTGGACACAGCATTGGTATTTAGTTAGATCAGACCAGCTTCTTTTAAAAAACAACTTTTCGTATAAAGAGAACAGATGTTTTTAATTTACACAAAGAACAAAAACAAAGTTCTATTGTTCAGTTACAGTGAACACAAACATTACAGGCACACAGAAATTAGCACCAATAGCACGTTAAAAAAAAGTTAAAAGCCCATCATCATATAGGTCTGCTTATTTGCGCTTTTTCCACTACTTTAACGATTTAGTGGCATGCAATGATAGCAACTGTTGCTTTTTGGAATTCATATGAATTTGAGTGTAGCATATTTTAAAGATAAAAAAGGCATAAACACAAGGACACTTTCTAAACACACATTATACAGACAATAACAATAATAATAATAGTAGTAATAATAATAATAGTTTTATAATAACAAGCGAGGAATGTTATCCCTCACAGTCCAGGGTATAAGCCAACTACTAGTTCATGGGGATAGGAAGAAATTGCCTCTTTGAGCTGTTTATTCTATAGTTGTTCCTTACAGGGTACGTTTCCCTCTGCACCACCTGCACACAACAGTAAGGCCTCAGCCCTTTGGAACACGATGTGCATGTACAAAACTAGGCAGAGTATTTTAGTTGCATCGGTGAGGTTATCCTGTGCTACAATCTGAAATTAAACCAGCACTATCCTTATATGCTGTTTTCCCCCTGCGGATTTAAAACTCCTGTGAATGCATTTACAGGCTCCTGGCTTATGCAGGCGGGAGCAGAGCTCAGGCACACGTCCATGCCAAGCCCCTTCCAGAACAGGAGTGCTACCCTGCAGGTGGAGGTGACTTCCACCTCTCTGTGACTCACAGACACACATCCCAAGAAAATGTTTCTCAGAGATAAATCTTAGCATCATTCCCATTTCTCACCCACTAGACCAACAGCCTGGATACCTAATTCTCAGCTTACTCCAAGGCATAGCTCTCCCCATGGAGAAGCATCTCCTCCAGCACCTCCTCGTTGAAGATTTCATAGTGGCTCTCTAGTTGTTTGTCACATCTTAGGTCACCCTCTCGGGCAGCTATTTCTAGGTTTAGAAATACTGACATAACAATATTTCTATCTCTATTTCAGACTTACCAGTCCTGCAGCTGCAAGAGGACACGGAGGGCAAAGATCCCTTATCTTGGCTTCTCCCAACTCTATATAAACAAAGATTCTGTTTTTGGTGCATTACAACCAGACTTCACCCCCTTTCCTTTCCCATTGTTCCCTAGTTATTTTTTTGTCCAATAATGGGTGCCATTTTACTCTATCCCACACTCAGACTAAGTATCAGACTATGAGACTCACTTAAGATCGTCACATGGGACCTAGTGAAAAAACAAAAAACCGAAACCCTTCCTTGCATTTTAACCAGTTGGAAAAATAAAGTTATAATTAAAAGAAAAATAAAAAAGTCTTTTCCTGTAGCATTCAGGTAACCTGGGGATTTCAGTGCCACAGAACAACAGAAAGACAAACACCATGACTCAAAGGGCTGGAGCCTTTTTCCACCACTAAAAACAAGCCTCACTGGGAGAGGTGCTGTATACATGCTGCTCCAAGTGGCCGGTTTTAAACTTTCAATCACATTATATAATACAAAACCCAGTTCCAGACCCACACAGGAAAAAAAAAAAAAAAAGAAACCAAAACACTACATTCATACGGTACCTTTCAGCTCGAACGAACCCAAGCCATGAATCATCTTATCCACCACAGAGTGCCATCACCTCAACATCGAAACACAGCAGCTGTTTATTACCCTACAAGAACATTAAGATGGGTGCTCTTATGCAGCCAAAACAGCAAGGAAAACTGAGTAGACAAATATAATAACCTGGAACGCACAAGCTTATCCTCCCTACCTTTATAATGAGTACCAGAGGGGCTTTAGGGACCACAAGCAGCCGATGCTTCCAGCCACCCGATGCTAACAATGCTTTCTGCAGCACTTAAGCGATCCTTGGAAGCCAAAAGCATTTGACCTGGACTTGCTTTGCTTTGCTTGGTTGACAACGAGGCCAAGAGCTGGCTATCGCACACTGACCACAATTGCTATGTCACATCCAAAGTTGTTTCTGCCACATTTAGAACCACGATTGATGCAAGAAACAGAGTAATCGTGATGCTCTGAGTTGTCCAAAGATACGGAAATTCATCTCCCTACTGCTTGTGCAAAGATGACAACTAATTGCAGTCATGTACCTGTCCTGATGGTTGGCTGTTCATTAATAAATTGCAGTCACGCTCTCTCAAACATGGCTCCCTCAGACCTTGACTCTCAGTATCTCGGAGAGATGCTACATGGCTCTTGGAAGTGGCTTATCAAAATTGGAACCATTTGCTATCCAAATACACTGAAGTTTTCACTCAAAATTCAAAATCTCATTGTTACACCACACTCATCACTGTGGTATCTGAGTACCGTCATTTCCAGCTGAATTCCAGCCCCAGCTGGATTCAATGAACAGTCACTCCGAGTCCGGGGACGCAGAGTTAATGCAGGCCAGGATCATGCAGCGAGTCCTGCGTGGGCTCATGAGAAGTTTGTTGCAGAAGTTGGACTTCAGCTCCCACTGAATGAGAAAGGGTGTTGTGGCCAAAGGACATTAATAAGGAGTTTGCTAAAGCCTCGGAGCAATAAGGAGATTGCTAAGGTCCCGGGGCTCTGCTCCAGAGCACTCACACAAGCGTGCCACCAGCTCCCTGATGTATAAAGTGTGTCTGGCTGGCTGGATGGCGGTGTGGGTTCTGTTGTTACTGCAGAGGTCTTCTGAGAGAGGGGGACAGAGGAGGAAATTACACTGATTGCACTGTGTCCTGTGAGTGGACGTGCCCATTGGCCTTTGTTTATCCTGAAGCAGTGTGAAATATACTGTAAAAACAGTCTCGTTTCTACAGCAGAGCTCTGCTCATGTGTGTGAACCAAAGTAAGGTAAGAATGGTTGGGTAATTCCCCAAAATGGGGACCAAAAGGAGATTGACCCCCAGGTTTCAATGGTTAAAATGTCAACCTAAATGTCCTGTACTTCTCACTTCATGGTAGCTCATCCGTGCCACACAAGCTGCATCTTTAGCCCACCAAACCTCTCAGCCTTTCTGCTTCCCAGGGCACTTGCAGTCCCAGAGCCACAGCTCCCACCAGGAGCAAGGACTTTCTCTTCCCAGGCAAGATGTTTGGCCATTTACAGACCTGCACATGGTCTGACTGATCGAGAGATCAGAACACTTCTTAAAACAAGATGTTTTCACCAAAACACTCTCTGATAATCAAACAAATCAAAGGGCGACCTAACTGGATCCACAAAAGCAAAACGTGTAGCTGCCAAAGAACTGCTCTTATCTCTGGCATGGCTGGGTCACTGGACATTTCACAGAAACAAAAATGTATTTCCTGTGTAGACCCAATTAAAATACCTCCAGGGAAATATTTCATGTGCTCTTAAGACCTGAAGCCAAAGCTATGCTTTTAAGGTTTGTAAGGAATGAGGTTACGTCCCAGGGGCTGATGGAAAGCACCGAGCACCCTCTGCTGTACTCATTAAAATTAGGCTCAGCAGCAGCATCTGACCTTGTAAATACCTGGCAGAAGGGTGCTCTGCCCTCCCAGCAAGAGGCAGACTGCCTGCCACTGCCAGGAGCTCAGATAACGTTGGAGGACACTGCAGGATTCAACCCAGGCATCACTCCACGACAGAAGCCACCAGCCTCTCCTGATTCACACACAAGGTTTGGAGAAGACGGCACAATCTCTGTTGTAAAAGATCAGCTATACCTTTCCTCCAGGGTCTGACCAAGTTCCCTCTCCACAGCTGGGTCAGCCTTACTTCAAAGGGAGGAGGACTTTGCTGCCCACACGTAGGTCTCTGGGGACAGATGGAGGCTGTGGGTTACTCGCTATGCAGGTAATGAGACTTCGGTTGCTGGCTTGTTCATTTTCCATCTTGATCTTTTTTTTCCTCTGTTCACCTCATCATTTCTTCATGTACTCATACTGCAGGATGTGGGTGCTTTTCTTGCTGTTCTGGCTGGGACGAGGGAGGCAGATGGCTCCTCCAGGTTGGTAAAACATGATAAAAGGATAGCAGGGAGAAGCAAGGATGAGAACTCAGTTATTTTGCTTGTAACAAGATGCGCCTCTTCTCTGCCCTCCAGTCTCGCTGGCTCATCTGCTCTATATGTGCTCCCACCAGGTTTTGTAGAGAGCAGTTGCCACTCCAGGATTTTTTGGATGAAACTGAATAAACTCTTGCTCCAGGGAAAGTTCTTCCAGCTGGAAATCAATGGTGAGTCACAAGTGGCTGCCCTGAGTACCATGAAGGCTGGGGAATCACCTAAGTGATCACAGTGTTTGTGATCTGGATGCTGCTGCCATCTACACGATAATTGGTAACTGACCCCAAAGAACTTGCAGAACATCCTTGCCACCTAGACCTGGCCTCTCACACCTCAGTTTGGCCAGTATCCCTGCAGATGAGTAAAGCTTCCCTCTAGAGCCACAGTCCCCTTTGCCCCTTACAACTAACATGCTGGGGAAAGGAGAAAGGGTGGTCTCAGGAGGAAGGAGTGACGTTTGGCTTTCATTCTTTCCTCTGCTGAGCCCTTACACATGTCTAGTGAGGAAAACAAAGGCGACGTTGCAGCTTGGATATGTCCTGGACAGCACAAATGACAGCAGCAGTGTAGGCTGGGTAATACCCAGAAAACACACTCTAAACAAGTACTGAGAGAGTGCTGCAACAATTAAAACATTTTTTTTAATTTCCTTTTTATTTAACACCACAACGGCATTTAAATACCCTATTTCAGATTGAACAAAGGGTTTCCATTTTCCTGAGGAAAACAAAAATCTACTTAACCAAAATGAAAACCAGAAAATGTTCACATCAGATTGAACAAAGTATGTGATTTCACCCCAAACCAGATTTTTTTCTGTTGAGATCAGTCTGCTTTTTTTCTGGGGTTTGGGTTTTTTCAATTGATTTGGAGGCAGAACTGAAAAAGTCAAGTACAGCAAGGGTGTGGGGAGAAGTGATAGCATTTATGAGAGCAACTGATATTGCTGGAAAAAACAGACCAGCCTTCAGGCACAAAAAGGTTGTTTGTTTCTTCTAGCTCTATCAGTTGGTCTCATGAAAGCTATTCCCTCTTCTTCCAAAATTCTTCTCAATTATCTCCTTAGTCTATCCTGGCTGCAAGAATACATCTACTGAAACAGCAGTTATTAGTACTGTTCGACATACAAAGATGACAGACAAATCTAGAAATTACAATGGCAGCTAGTTAAACCCTATCTATTTGTACAGATTCTTGTGTCTAACCCAAGACTAAAATAGTTCCTTAATCAGAGGGCAGATAATTAACAAAATCAAGAGCTGAGCGCAGCCAGCTCCCATCGTGCCTGTTACTTGGCTCCCCCATAGGTTTAACAGCACGTAGCGCCTTGCCAAGCCGAGACGAGCAGCAAACCTGACCACTTTGTAGAACTGCCCATCCAAAATAGGTCCATGACTGTATCCTTTGAGCAGAGCGAGCAACAGATTATCACGACTTGAGGATTTTTAGAAATGGATGGGCTTAATAGCCCATAACTCTTTTCTAGTGAGAAAAAACAGGGAGGGAGAAACTCTCCATAATAGTACTTCAAGGTGGCTGTGGCACAAGCTTCTGGACACAAAGGAACGGGCATTAAAGTGAACATAATGTGGGTGAGCTTGAGACATGCCAGACTGTCTCATGCCCTCTAGAACATACCAGAACAGATTTGCTAGCTCTTCAGAAAAACACATCACTGGAGAGCACCCAACCCAGCTGAACCTCTACCTCCTTCCAGAGGACAGTTGCATGAGGGGGCCTCAGGACCATTCTGCCCAGTGACTTGTCCTGAGCTTTCCATCCTTTTTCTGTAGATCCTTATGCTGGTCCCATTCTGCTGGATGAGAAACTAGCATCACGCTGTGGCTACATCCTGTCAGAAGACGTGTGGGGCAACCCCGTCTTCCGTGCATCGGTGCTTGGCTGTCACGTGGCCAACGAGGTAAGACCCAGAAATAGGCTTGAAAACAACTCAGACAGTACATCCTCTCCAAAAAGACAAGATTGAGATATCATATGGCATTCTAATGGCGTGTTTTGAGAACTCAAGGAATAGTGAACTCAAGGAGTTGATGTTGATGGAATGTAGAAATGAATAGGCAATGGCTCTCCAGTATGAGGTTTGTTCACTGTGACTGACATGGGATTTCCTCTCTCCACAAAATGACACTTAGCCTAATGCTGCTGACTAGCTGCCAGTTCTCAAGCATATCCTTGTAGCTGCTGATTTGCCAGAGAGTTTCTTGAAAGCCTCTCTGGAAAGAAGTAGGCATCTGCTTGAAAAAGCAACATTTGCAGTGTGATTCTGGCAGATCATTTCCTGGCTTAATTTGTGTGGTAATGTGCCTGTTAACACATGCCTAGGAACGTAGATCACACACATCTATTAGACCCAGATTTGTCTCACGTAACTTTAGCCATCTAAAAGATAATGTCTAGTCTAAACTAGCTGTTTACGCTTCCACAATAGTCAATGGAGAGAAACAGGCATCTCCGGAAGGTGATTCACCCCTTCCTAAAATATGGGTAAAAGTGTACACTGGATTTCTAATTCCTAAATGTTAGTTGAGATGAAATGTACCTAGAAACAGAACATATCAGAGTAGAAACTTCATTGCTTGTCCATGTTTAGTCTGGCTGGTCCTGGAAGCCCCACAGAAAAAATAAGGTAAAACTTTATGGGCAGAGGTTATACTAACAAGAACGAGGGGTGTACAGTGTGCTGTGCAACGACCAGGATTTCCAGACTGGAAATTTCTCTGGAAAGGTTTTGCCTTTTTCTGTAGAAAAATACACATCCATGTCAGATAGAAGCACAGTCCATGGCTTTTTGTGTGGCTCCTGGAGAGCTGAAGGACCAAAAGGAGCTCTTAGAGAAGCTAGTCAAGGCAGACACTAAACAGCATTTGTAAGATAGATCTGAACTGCCTACGTCAAACTAAAAGCTCCAGTACCTTCTCTCCATGAGGAAGCACATAGCAGTCATGAATGGGAGGAACGTGAACTGCATGGTGAGGTAGGTCAGATCTTCCCCTGACTAGCTGCTCCTTAATTCTGGGGTAAGAATAGTGCTGAGGTGTGAGCTGAGGCAAAGGCTGTGAGTACTGAGGCAACGTCTCTGGCTCAGAAAGCTCCTGCACACAAAACCACTTGAGAGAGGGTGGTGTGGCGGAGGAACTGTCACTACAGCTCTCAGCCTGTTCTCTTCATTATAAAACACTCTCAGAAACAGGAGACTGGGCTGGATGGTCCCATGTAGCTGCTCCTGGGACCTTCCACACTATCTGCTGAATTACCTGCTTTTCTTCCCAGGCAGATGAGCTGTTCTCACTGATTGTGAACATCAAGGTCTCCTCATTTTCAAGCATGAGGGCAGCTGTGACCTATACCTACCCTATGTACTGCTCCTACTCTTCCTGGGCTTCAAGAGAAATTGTGTGTGAAGAAAACTACATGGAGGTAAAAGCTTTCCCACTGAAGGCGAACCAACATCCAAGCTCCCCGCCAGGCACAACCACCTCCACAAATTCCTGTCAGAAGTTGATTTTATACTATGTACCAAGCGTAATAGCGACCTGGTGATATTCAGCAGAGGGTGTAACTGCAGATGCTTATTAGTAACACATTTACATGTCATAGGTATTTTGCATGCAGTGAAATTCAGTTAACTGTACAGATGATGTAAATCAAGCCACTGAAAGGAAATCAGCAGCCAGGCAGGCCAACCTGTTTAGCTCATGAGAGTCCCTTTATGTTATAAAGGGCTGCATCATCTGTGAGAATGTCATCCTTATATTTGAAATAATAAAACCTAGGTTTTGCAGAGCTGCACCCCTGCTGCATCACACAACTCAGAGGACATCATTGTGATGTCTCTTGCTGGGTGGTACAATTTGGCTGTCCAGCCTGCTACCAGCATCTGCACACCAATGTAGAAACAGGGCACTGAACAAAACAAATTTCACTGCCTTTTGTACGCAACTACTATAGGCAGAATGCAGAAACATGTGTCTCGTGTTAGGACCTGAGGCTGTGCAGTCAAGTCTGGGTGTTGCAACATACTTAAACCACAGTACAGATGTCTGAGGCAAACACTGACTCCCAACTCAGTGTCCAGAACTCGCCTCACTCTGCAGCACATGCTGGGAAGATTTACACCATAGCACCTACACTAGGTATTAGGCATCCTGCATTTTCAGGTCTTCAGCCTGCATGGGAAGAGGGGACCAGTCCTGTTAAAGCCAATAGGAAACAAAAATAAACAACGCAAATGAAAGCTAAAGCCTCTATAGCTTCCCTATACCTCCAGTGGAGAGACCCAGATGACCCTGAAAGTCTCCAGAGTGGGACCTAGTTTACAGCTTACCAGATACAGAACAGGATTTTTGATTTACCTCGTTATACACAAAGTGTTCCCTCTGCTGTACACACACCACCGTAAATGCCATGGTTCTAACTTTCATTTTAAGGCCACAATTACCACCATCAAGAACCTCTCTGGAAACACTTTAATTACCTCCAGCAAATGTAAATTGCTAAATCCCGACAGACACAGGGGAAGAAATCTGAAAGCCCTCTCTCCACTCCCCACGCCTGTAATAATGCTGAAGATTTGTTTGTTCCCAAAGAATCTCCTCTGTCTCCCCAGGTGTCAGTGAAGACCGATGTCCCCGCAGTTTCGAATGACTACACCGTAGCGTGGATGTCAGCTCTGCCAGAGGTACGGAGGGGAGTCTTTCCTAACAGTTCCTAGCCTGCCTCTTCTCGCTGGTCTCATGAGTCATTCTTCAGGCATAGGTCCATCTCTATCAAAAAAAGGGAGATGGCAAAGACGCCATCAAGTACTGAAAAACCTCTCAAGTTTTCTTAGAGCTCTACACTGCAAAAAGACATTTAGATGGGAGAATAGAGCCATATGCTTGTTACATTAGTGGAAACTGAGTTCAAGACAAACAAAGGTAAGTGGTTCTTCACACAATGGGTAGTGAATCTGTCAAACTCCTTGCCAAAAGATGTTGTGGCTGCTAAAACTTGCTTGATCTCAAGGAGAGTCTGGAAAAAATGACCGAAGAGAAATCCAATAAGACATACAAAATACAAAGAAGCTACAGATAACTCAGGAGTCCCTGAGATGAAAATTATTTGAGGCTGGAAAGTATAAGGGGAAAATATGTATGTTTTCCCTATTTTTCTCATGTCTTACTTTCTCCTTATACCCGTTTTCCTTTTGACTATCCCCCCAAATGGTTATCATTTCAGGAGACTTTGTTCTAGCCCAGTACAGACCTTCCTCTCTTCTTATGTTTGACACGGCATGGCTATGTATTATAAAAGGTAATCTGTCATTTGGCCTCTGAACTGCTCCAGCAATTGACAGACATGAAAGCAATCATTTTATTAACAGCACAGGCATTTTGTCCAAGGGGATTTGTTCAAGGCCACCAGTCTAAGTTCCTTCCACGGATGCTATAAAACGATCTCTAAAGATGCCTTAAAGAGCTATAGAATTCCTTACCTTTATGTTTATGAAGGATGTTTCTTGCCTGGAGTGGACTAACAGTGTCCAGTGCCACTCCAGTGACTCCAGTTTCTAATAGGAAAATAGATGCTACAGCACCATAGTTTTTTAAGAGACTTTGGTAGACTTAGATCTCATGCAGCTCATCTCTCTCTTGCAGACTCAAAATGTTGCATACCAACTATGGCAACTGATGTTTGTTTCTCCATCAGGGAGAAAGACAATAACGGTAAGCGATGCAGCAAAACTGGGCTACAGCTTCAATAATACGCTGTCCCGAGTGTACCTCCGCGCGCCCTATCACAGCAACGAGTCTGACGTCAGCATGGTGAGTTGTTGCTCTCAATCGGACACAAAACTGTGCTGTTTCCACTGCTTCAATAGGACATCAGTTTTCTTGTTCTGCCTGCATCCCAACAGGTCAGTGGCGTAAATATGAACATGGTGACTTCCACTTCTATGTACAGGCAGCGGTGGCTGCTTTTGCTGATTGACACGACAGTCTCCTGTCCTGTTGGTAAGGATTTCTTCCTTGTTCACCAAAAATAACCACCTAAGGAGATAGTAGAAAACACAGTCTCCCCATTTCCCTGTAGCCTACTCTGTAAGAGAAGAGGTTTACAAGCTGCTCTCTGAGCAACATGAGCTAAGAGTCCATGGCTTTAGTCCCGGACAAACACGTTCCCTGCTGTGATGCTACATTACTTGTGTTCCCTGTGCAGTGTCATGCCTTGTCTCTGGTTTCTCAAACCCTCACGTTATATGCAGGGGACTGGAGACAAGTCAAACTTCTGCAGAAGGGCCAGGGAGCCTCCCCCAGACTAACCCCTCAGCGCTGGCTCTCCACTGCCATATAACTCAATACAGGGCATGCAGCTTTGCATCGTTGGGACTCACCTAGTCCTTTTCTCTGGAGAGACAGAACTAGCCTGGATTTTTGCAGTGGTGGGTGCACCTTCTGTCTCTCACAGAACAGTATTAATTTGAATAATCCATGAGGAAGAAGGATGGTTTAAGTTATCGTGATCTTGAAGCCAATAGTTCAAGGAGAAGGCCCAAACAGGTTTCTGTGCCCCGTTCCTTTTGCCAGTAAGGCACAACTCCTGGGACCAGAAGGACAACAGAGCAGATAACTGGGAGCATGACTCTTGGTTCCTATGAATAAATTAATTACTCATCTGAAACTGGTGATTCAAGTTTACTTTGAGCACCAGGGTTTCTGTGACAAAATAACCATCAGTTGGCTAATATCCTACAAGGTGTTTCATTAGTGAAAGCTGAAAAGGTACCCTGGTGAAAAGGAGTCAGGGAAAGACAGCCGGTACACAGTGAAGACTCACTGGTAACTCCAATTGCCCGGCCTTCTGGGACTGTCTATCTAACTCAACAGATGGCATCAGTTTCACTGATACTACGCTAACATGGACTGTGCCAAGTGTTATCCCCACATTAGTGGTTCAAGAATCCACCTTTCTGTCTAAAACCATTTTAATGGGAGTCGATGGCCGAGTCATAGTAAACCCAGAGGAGAAGAACTACTTACTGGAGCACAACCACACACACATCGGAGTAACTATCCCTATTGGAGGAGAAGGAGGCAAGCTAAAGGTTAGTACAAACCTGTCACATACTAACACATTTGAGGGCCTGCATCATGGAAGATGTTTCTAAATCATGACCATTACAAATCATTCCAAATAGTGATTGATTGCTGCTTAAAATTCTTAGCTACAAGAAATATTTGAAGACCTAGGTGGTCCTTCTCCTTGTTTTGAAAGCACCTACTCAGAAACTAAGTAACTCTAATTACAAAACATAAGAGAAGCAAGAGACTGTCTTTTCTTAATAATCTAAAAAGTATACTAATAAGTTAAGATTGAAGGGATTCCTGGGCACAGAAGTTCAATTACCTATGTTGTTACATTACATAACTGGTTCTGGTACACTTCTGACGTGGGTCAATGAGCAGTTTCCTAGACCATCTTCATGCAGGCAGCATGAGTTAGCATGAGACAGGCTCCCAGCATGTAGTCTGGGTGTAGCCACCTGATTTGGACATAATATACTCTCCGTCAGTCTATAAGTTACAGGTATAGAGGCAGTGTCCAAGCAAATGTTGAGTACAAAGGAGCTGGCAATATTCTCACAAGGCTTTTTACCAGTTACACCTGTGAAGATTACATTGGTGTGACTTTTTGACTCATCCTGTTCAGAAGTTCGCTGTTTGGTGTATCAGTGGACACTTACATCACTGTGTGTATGTAACACCAGACAGACTTGGTCTGAAGAACTCTTGGAAGCACTGACAAACTTTCAGATTCAACCAGGACAGAATGAGAAACGTGACTGGTAGTCCAGGGATTGCAAAAAAACAAATGCAAATATGGTTACTTACTAAACTTAATAAGGACATCCCCCAACCCTGATACCTCCTTATTAAAAATCTCAGCAGTATCTGGGCCAAATATGGACCAGACAAATGGCACAAACAAACAAACAAACAACCTCCACTAGAAAAAATCCATCCCAAACCATACTAGAATACCATTTTCTCTTTCTAGTGTAAAAATTTTGACCATATTCAGCCATTCCTCTATTGAGAATTAAGACTTAATCACACATTTTACCTCCTAGAGTTCCATATCTGGTGGTGTATATGGAGTCATTTACAGTATCGACTTATTCTTGGAGCACACGTGGACAGATGCAGATTGGCAAACCACAAAGTATACTGTCATCAAATCCATCACCACACCTTTCATGCCACAAGTACCAACTGTTATTAACAGTAAGTCATTCCCCTCACTTTTACCAGTCTCTCATTTTTGCTGTTTTATACATGGGTTCATTTGACCTCTACCACACACCTACATTCACCAGAATGTTCTCAACTCCCACTTCCAATTCACTTGCCTCACTTTGCAAGGTATTACAAAATACCCCAAACCGTTAGCCTTAATGGATGTACCATTTATCACCCATCATCATGGGATGAAATGAAAATTATCAGTTGCTGATAAGAATGTGAACATTTCTCTTACACTAACATACAGATTTTTCCAGTGAGCACCTGGGACCCTAGAATAAAGATGTTGTGTTTTGCAGTTATCACACTGGAGAGAACTGTCTTAGGACAGCATTCATTGATGGCATTTTGTCCCCAAAACCACCTGCATTTTTTATCTCGGGAGCATGCTGAAATCATTGTGCCAACCAGTGGTGCAGTAATATGTTTTTAATGATATTTTTCCAGTGCATTAAGATACTAAACATCTTTGGAGCTGTCTGGATAACTGATAAAGAAAAAGGAGCCTCTTGGCATACATTATGATAGCTTTTCCACATTTTATGTGGCTGAACTACATTCTAGATTGCTTTATAGGAAAGTCATTGCACATCATAGTGCACCTCTAGAAAGTTACTGAACCCACTTGCTATAAAGTTGTACGTATTTGTTGTTAATCTCCTGCAGCTTGAAGCAATTCTCATGTACTCAGAGTATTTCAGATCTGACTAGAACACAAACACTCATTAATCAGAGCCATTAAAGAGATGGCTGTTGGCTAAGTTTCCTGGAACTTGAATGGGAGGCCACCCCAACTGTCTTCGTTACTTGATCCACACCAGCAGTAATTTGATGTTCTCTCCCTACAGATACTCTGCCAGAGGAAAGGCTATTTAATGTTGCATTTGGACACTTTCTTCCTGATGTCTCTCTGGTGGCAATCACAATAGGAAATGTGCCATTTACCCTGAGAGAAGCACAGCACCATAGATTTAAGATTTATGAAACTCCCTTTTCTAATAGAACAAAAGGATTTATCCTGGAAGTCTCTTTTGATGATCCATATGTTCTAAAGGAGGTAAGATACAGCAGGTCACTGCAGCAGTTGAGTGGAGGAGGTAGGGTTGTCCCTTTTCAGAACATAGTCTGGCTTTTATTAACCAACAGTTCTTCCTCAATCATAAAGGTGTCAATGAGTCTGAGCTCATCTGAATTAAGATTAGAGGCTTGTATGTCCCCACCTTGCTCTCCCTAGATCTCTGGGAGACATGCAGCATCAAGTGTGATTAGATGGTATGAAATATGACTTCCTTTAGTGTCTGTCAGCATGGCTAATGTCCAAGCGCACACCCAGCAGGAAGAGGTTTGTCAAATCTCTATTAAATGCTGTCCCTTGAAACAGGAGTGCCTTGGAAAAATAAATCAATTATTACAATCCTGCAAACACCAGTTACCAACATCCAGTAATTCCTGAACCTACTGTTTATGCAGAGCCATTCGCCGTGCAAACACGTACGGGCAGGCACAGGGTATTCTAAATGTAATTTTGTTAAGCTTCACACCATTTCTAATCTAAATATTTGTAAAAAGTATAAACTCATAGAGGGAATTCAACCTCTCATTTTAGCAGGAGGATGCATAACTGCAAGTCCTCTACCACTGTTTTGACCAAATCACACAGAACTGCGATGCTATTTTCTCTTACAAGGAACAACATTGTGAACGCACAGCATCAGAACTTGTGCAAATATTTTTCAGGCTGCAGTTAAACCACAGTTAAATTGCATTAAGGATCAAAGCAAGCCAAACATTTTCAGAAGTATTTATTTCAGGTTGAACAGCAGGTTTTGCTTTGGGGGCACTTTTAGAGAAGTAAATGAGGACATTGAGAGGGATCTCTCATAGCATCTCCTCACACCTTCTGTCTTACCGATTACTCATGCTCTTGGGTTCAGTCCACACTCTGAGTAAAGAAGAAGAAGGATTTGGACCTGGATTGCCCTCTACAAGCTCTTTCACCAGTGGGCTACAGAGGAAACACCACTGTGTTCACTTCTGCCTCCATTTTCTCAACAGGCACTACACTCTCCACATTTATGTTTGGCTGAAAGAGATGTTGAATCCAATCCAAATTTCTGAATAGTTTTAGGCCAACTGAAGCAATGTTTTTGGAGACTGTGCTATTTGCAGGGGAGAGGAGGGTGTTGGAATTATTATTTAGTGCTGCTCAGGATATACATTCCTGTCTGTGCTGGAAGCCATTGCTACTGCAGCCTTACGTTTCTCTCTTTTCCAGTATGTGAATAGAAATGAAACAAAATATACCCTCCTCATTAACTACACTATAAGCGTGGGTCCAGAGATGACACTCTATTATCATTCTGCAGAGGTGGAGTGTGTGATTGCTGATATCGGTAAGCTTTCCCCTGATATTAACTGGTTTGCATCAACAGCATGGATCAGACTTTCATTGAATTCGGTGAGAACAGTTTTAGGCTGAGGATGAGAGCTTTGGGGAAAACCCCACCCTTCAATAGCTCATTATTGGTAACACAGCCAACTTGCTGCTATTCTGATGGCAGCTCTTCTGCATACTGGCAAGACAGTCTGCCCTCGAGACACTGAGAGCAATAAAAACTAGTGTGTAAAAGAAGTTGGCTTGCAAACTCAGAGAACAAGATGCCTCATAACTTGAACATATATCTACTGGCAAAACTTTCAGACATTGCTATGAGTTTCAGTTTGTCCTCAAATGCAATTTGAAACAGTCAGGAGGTCTCATTGGTATTTTCTCAAGCGTCTTAGATTTTGGATGCCACAAAGGTGACAGAGTCTCCTGACTGTCCTGTTTTATCTTTGAAATAGCTCTGGGTTCAACCCAAAGAAGGCTGACCAAAAAAAAATACATTTACATACATAGCTCAGCTTGCCTTACTGAAACGGGGAGTAGTCCTGGAAGCAAGCTTGCAGGCCACCGCTAAGACACAAGGATTCCCGATCCCGCCGATTGTGAGCTGCTACATCCACAACACAGCCCCCTGCAGACGATGCCAGTACGCATGTAACAGTGCTGCTGCAGTGCCAGCGCAAAATTTACCCGTGATAGAAATGCCTCCCTGGGCCAAACATCATTGCTCAAACCTTCCTTCATTGCTAACTCTTTGTCCCACCTTCTTCCCACAGAACTACCAGAAGCAGTTGGCTCCTGTGACGAAGAAAACCTGTATCTAGCCATCCCTACTTTTGGCTTGCACCAGTATTGGAACCTGTATCTTGGTAACAAGCTTCTGAACCGGCACGTTGCGGTTACCAATGGGTATCTTCCAGCTACCAATTCTACACACCTGATCTTGCAAATACCTCTGTTTGCTGTGGGAGTTACCTATGAGGTACACGAACTCTATAGCAATGCCTTCTTTAAAGCACGTAGGACTCTCTGCTCATAGAGCCACAGTCCTGCTGTCACAGTTTGTAGTGCCGTATTGGAAAACCTCCAGAGGGAAGGACTCTAAGCCAGTGCAAGTAGGACAAGAGGTATCGGACATGGACCCTTCTGGTAATGCCATGTGTTATGTAATCTGCAGTGCTAAGCTGTATCTGAAAGATATGCACCAAGTCTTCAAAAACAGACTCCTCAGTATTTTTAGTAAGATGAGGCAAAATGTCCCAACTGCACTGAGCCAGAAACAATATTTCAATATAGCTTTTATAAAAGAAGCTCTTTTAAAGGAGCATTTTGTAGAAATGTTAAGACATGGCAGGGGAAAATTGATGCTGTAATAAACATCTAAACTATTCTACAATAATCAGCCAAAATTTATCTCTGTGACAGTGACCAATTAATTTATACCAGAAAACTTCTGCCCCCACGTTGCATCAGGCTTGAGTCTTCACACTGACTTCACTCTTGTGACTTGTTAGCATTCAAGTGGCACAAGCTAAAGAGCAGAACTTTGTACATATGGATCACCTACCTTAACAGGAGACCTCTTCCATCACCTCCTTCACAGGAAGTGTCCTTTCAGAAAATTAAAGCAAGGTTTGATGTTACCCTAAGGAAAGTGAGAACTATGGAGACCTTACAGATGTTCTCCGTTAGCTGCAGTTTTAATTCTTCAGCATTTATAAGTAAGTTATACAAGTGATCAGTCAATAAAAAGATCTGTGATTCTTTCCTTGAGTTTATAACCAACTCTCTGATTTTCTCAGTATGCCATCCAGATGGTACTATAATGGTATCTGCCCAAATGAAGACAGTTCCTGCCATTGATATGAGTAAAACCAAACTAAGGGATAGATCTTGCAAGCCTAGAGAGTATAATGAAGGACATGCTTTCTTCAAGTTCCATGTCACTACCTGTGGCACTTCAGTAAAGGTAAGCCCATGGCTGAAGAAGATACATCTGCTGGAAGTCTCTGTCTCTCCTGCATTTTCTCTTTTGTTCCCCTGCCCCAGCTCCTGCGAAGATTCAATTTTTAATGAGCTTCCCATATGCACAGTTTGAAGGTGATCACATTATTTATGAAAATGAAATCTCTTATGAGAAAGAGACTCTTCCGGGACAGAGCATAGCGACAATCACAAGAGATCCAGACTACAGGTAGGAGTTACTGCTCACTGACATCGCTCACGTTGGAACAGCTGCTGGAAAGTAAAAGCGAACACAAACCTTACCCTTTCTCCTACTACAGACTAACAGTCTTGTGCTACTATCGAGCAAAAGAGACCCTAGTGCTTGGTGCCTTCGCTAGCAATCCATCCACATCACCTCCCTTCGGCTCAGGAACAATGGTACCAAGATCAAATATTGCAGGTAGGCAATTCTCTTCCTCCATTATTAAACTTCTGTGACTTTCAGTTGTAAGCTCCCTTGTTAAGACATGTCCTGCTTCCTACTAAAGAATCTCACTAACACTTCCTTTTCTGCAGTATACAGAAGGATAAGACAAGCCCTGAATGTAGTTTCAAGGGTGTCCAAAGGTAAGTCTCCTCCTAAGAAAATCAGAACGTTTTCAAACATGTTTTAATTTAAATAAAATTAAACAACAACAAAATCCCCTGCATTTTCTTGAGATGAATCTTTTGTGGAATTCTACGAGCCCAACATGGCAATACTCAAGCGACCCATGGAGCCTGTGTTTCTTGAGGTGGAGCTGAAAGACAAGAGCCCCCATGCTGAATTATACCTGGAAAACTGCTGGGTGACCGGGTCTCCAGACTTCAACAGCACCCCGAGATGGAACATCACTGTGGATGGGCAAGTAGTTATCGAATGACCAATGCATTCATTGGAGAAACCCTGATTTCTTCTACATCTGTTGATCTGTTCTCTCAAATAGGCACAAGATTAACGGCAGTGAGTATGTTGCTGAGTTCTGTCCAGTAGCTGTTAGCCCCAGGGTGAGACACCCTTCTCATTTTAAAAGGCTAGCAGTAAGGACCCTGACACAGCGACTGGAACAGGTGAGAGTAAGTCAAAGGCTCACCCTGAACTTCTTAAGACTACTTAAAAAATAGCCAATTTAAACACCTCGCAGATTTAAGACCTAGCCAGCATTTAACCCAAATAGCCTGACTGGTGCACAGCTTTAATTTAGTTCTCTTCTCAAATTTGCTGTGCAACACCGTTTCGAGATTGGACTGACTCAAGTAACCAAAAGAGTTTGGTATGTAAATATGATTTTTATATGGTGTTTCTGACTTTTATAGGGTCAGATTCATAGCACTTCAGCTCAAAAGAGCTAGAACAGAAAAGTGAACTTACATGCCATAACATCCACATGAAGTTCAGCTCTGTTGACCCCCATCTGTACATGTCAACCACCTCCTCAGATGCTCAACCGGCAGGGGAGTAGAGGCATGTGGGTTTGGCCTTGCACTTTTTGGGTTCTGTCCTCCTCTAACAACTCTAAAAAGAGCAAAGACAACCCAGGACAGTCATCTGAGAGTGCTTTGCTCCTACTGCACCCAGTTGAGTGGACTCAGGCACGTGTACTGATATGAGCCATGGCAGTACCCCTACCTCCGCAGCTTAAGTAACCACATTATTTTTTGACTTGGCCTTTCATGAGCAGTTCAAGTCATGAACTTGCTAGAAATGAACATGATGCAATTCTGGCTTGTTCTGCTTCCTAAGTGCACAGCTGCATCTAGCACTAGATTGAGTTTCTGTCTAGCTTTGATACATAGCCTCAGTGCAGCTTGTGAGGTTTTAACTTCTCTCTCAGCCTCTCAGTTACCAAACTGCCCGAGGGCTTCTTTGACACCAAATTTGAAATGCAAGGCAGGTTCAGCTAGAAGGTGCTGAATGCAAGTGTTCAGACAAGCCCAAGTCTAATCAGCCGTAACTTCTGCAGAAGGCAGACAAAAGACAGAACAATGATCTGCAAAGAGGGATTTGATATGGACCAAATGGTACTTTTTCTTTTTAGGTGTACGTGCACTGTTTGGTGGCAGCCTGCTCTCCTACCAACGTACTACCTGGCAGCCCCTGCAGAGGACAGCGCAGCTCAAACAGGGAGAGGAAGGGTACGTGTTCAGGAGAAAAAGAGCCATTGCAAAGCACCTCTGACCTGATGTTTTTAAGTGATGTAGGACCTCTGGTTTTGGCATCTGAAATGCCTTGAACATGGGCTGTATAACATTACCTTTAGCTCATACTTCAATACGTTAGCACCTAATGTGCAGCACATATGTATTCTCGAAAAATTACACAAATACACTGTTTATCATTCTCAGCCTTTCCAGGTCACCGCTCAGCCAGTCTCCAGGGCTACACACTCGCTGGACCAGTCAGGATTGTCGATCCAGATCTAAGATGATGCATGTAAAGTGAATTTGGTAAGAATACCAGGCCCTGTGTACCCACCTAGAGAGGTGAACATGCTTTGTGGCACAAACAATGTGCCTGTCCTTCAAGAGCTTAGAACAGTAAGTTCTGGGACAAGAACTAGGGAACAGGCAGGGTTTGCAGTCTTCTGGTCTAAGCTCAAGTCTGTAAGACAGGGAAGAAGGAGAGCTGCCTGCCAAGCCAAACACAGGTGGCACGGCTCTGGAGACGATGCCAGCAGTGGAGTAGTACATGTTGGAGTTGGGCTTTAGCAGGCAGTTTTGGAACCAGATGTTATTTCAACAGGTTTTCAACTAGACTGCCCCCAGCAGCCATCACCATGCAGCTGAAAGAAAATGGATCCAAAATTTTAAAAAACAAACACTAAGGCACAAATCACCGCCATATTCCAAATTCTTTTGAAGAGTTCAAATCCCCTAGACTGTTAGGGTTTATCCTATAGCTTCATCTGCCTTTGGAGAACCAGAGCTATTTAGCTGCGTGTTCCAGTCTCACTCCTCACTTCACTGTGTGTGTGTCTCCAACAGCACCTGAAGGCTCTGCTGTGCTGGCTGCTTCCTAAATGGTGCAACTAGACACAGGAGCTACCTCTTTCAGTGACTACCACAACCATCTTGCGTGAAGTGAAAAGACCAGACTGTGGGACTCAGGACTGCAAAGCACTGGGGTCTGCTAACAGGATTAGTAAATGTTGTAACCTGTTACCTCTCTGAAGTGGCTTCAAAAGAAAACTTAACAGAAAATAACCCAAGGCTGCAAAATAACACTTCTTGTTTCTTCCAGCTGTTGAAATATGGACTTGCAGATCACTAAAATTATTCCAGCCCTGATTATGGCTGCTTCTTGTAATATTTCATAAAGTGACTGCCAATCCTCCCATGTGAATGTAAAGTGCGAATCTGAAAAGTCAAATAAAAATACATAAAAAGTAATATAAGTGCAGAATATCTCCTTGCTAACGTGCAACAGCAACCATCTGGGATACCAACAGTGGCTTCAAAGAGCCAAGCAATCTTCTACTTAGGGCCTCTTCCACATGCAACACAACTACATACTTTTTTTCCCATTGATGCAGATTTTTGACTATAACATTGAAATGACATGAGCTTCTTGGAAACCTCTTAGTTCCTCACTTTCCTCTCACCTGCCCAAGTATGGAAAAGGCTAACTCTACAAAATGGGAGAAGACGGATGCTCTAACATGAGTAAAAAGAACAACTGACTTCATATTTTGTTTTCTGTGCCCACAGAAAACATTTTTTAAAGAGAATAAAAGTTAGAAGGGCTATTTTCTAGAGATCAAGGACAAACCAGACACACGATCACCTGTAATCTCAGGATACGCCTACACCGTAACGGAAGGTGCGCCTGCAGCACGGGTAGGTGTTCAACAGCAATGGGAAGGGGGCAATTGCAGGCTGATAACGCACACGTGTGCAGCCTCCAGTGGGTTTGCACAGCTCGTACAGCCTGGATCTTCACAGGCTGGCTCGGTTACACACGCTGATTAGTACGTACACATGGCACGCTTCCCAAAAGCTGCAATCTTCCCAGTGATGTTTGCTGAATAAATGTAGTCTTAAAGCAGTATCTACCAAAGGACTAAGTTTAGTAAAAAGGAATTGGGGGGTACTGGGGTCCCAAGACCCCCCAGCAGCAGCCTGGGAGGTGCCTTCCTCTCTCTCTCTGCTGTATGAGCAGTGCACTCTACTGTCCGGAGCTAACACTGCAGGGTCAAGAGCGCTTACTGCTCCCACACACTTTCCAAGAGCACATTCCCTGTTTTTAATGTTGACAAGTAACAAACTCATCAGTTTAGGTTAACTTTCTGTTAATCTAAAAAGCAGTCCTTTTGAAATTTGTAAACTGGGATGAAGGTTAAATCACGATGACTAAATGCTAGCTCTTCTTTTCCCAGTGCTCATGGGACACTGTCTAGTTCCACGCAGATGAGCCTCAGGTCTGGTGTTGCGTCACTAAGGCTCGCTCACTTTGCAGTCTTGCAGAAGATGAGGTAAACTCCTCTGCAGGAAGTGGGACATCCCAGATCTTTCCCTGTTGCCCTGGGAAGCCAGGAAGGGGTCCGGCAGCATTCCATACCCATCCACCCACCACCAGATGTGGAGACCTTTCTCTCCTCGGTATGTTGGGAGAGAAAGGGAGGAGATGAGACATAACTGCATTCCCATTTCCACAGGCATTTCAGTTTCCCACATTCTCACAGACAAGCCAGAGAAATTCCACTTCCTTGGTTGCCTCCTCTTATCTTGGTTGCTGTTCATGGTAGATGATGGGTTTTTACACTCAATCACACAAAGTCTGTTAGGGTTCGGCATTGACTATTTAGTGTGAGAGAGTCTTTCCCAAGCTATGATTCAGTCACGCTATTGCATGGCATATTGCTCTGCATCTAGGTTCTCCTGAGATTACTCCCTCCTCTCAGGTGCTGCAGATAGAACTTCAGCAGCTAACTCATGTCTTAGATTCCAGTTTTCAGGCCTACGGGCTTAAACTCTTTCTTGGATTAGGCGCTCAGGAAGCACTCTGGTCATACCAATACAGTTGAAGAACCCTTCAATGTCCAGCCAATGTAGAGAAAAGGAATTAGGAAGGTGTGAGAGACACATTCCCCATACAAGCCTGGAAAGCACTGAACCTTGGATTAGCCTTTTTCATAGGAGCAGGGGGAACCTGACTTGAAACCTAATGTTGCGATGTCTATGGCAGGGTTGGACTAGCTGTTCCTCGCTGGGAGATGATGTTCTTCAGGTGCGTTTCACATGCTTATTGCACAACACAAAAACATGAATGATGAAAAACCACGGACTGTAGGAAGCGATGCTGTGGACTGCATCCGACCCCTGCTCATGGACTGAAGGGATCTACAAGGAAAGTATTAGAAACAGTGAATCTTCAGAAACAGACTGGAGTTCAACCCAAATGACGGCAGCACGCTGCCAGGTGGGCCTCTACCTTGACCGGACCTCACAGCAAACATTTTCCTGAAAAGCAACCTGCCTTTCCATCGTGCACGAAATCTGCAGGCTGAGGCTGAATCTGTTCTGCTGGTCCAGCCTCTGCCTCTATTAAAAGGATTAGGCAGAGCAACAATAATCTGCTAACATAAAAGAATATTTTCTACTAGCAATTTTCAGTATTGAACATTGGTTTTGCCTCTTTCTGAACCCTTCCCTTTCTGACAGTCCGGGAGAGCACACCCTGCATAGCTGAGCTTGGTTGATACAAAGGCGTTCATTCCTCACAACATTTGAATAGCGCATCTTTCACCACCAACTTACTTTTTTACTAAGGTTACCTACTAAATGGGACAACACACAGTGCAGTCCTCAGTTGTTAACAGCCAAAGATTTTCAGGTTTTTAATGCTGACTTACCTCTGTTGTCCACTCGGAAGGAAAGCACGTGGAAGAGAAACGTATCCTGGTCACCTAAGGACCCAGCCCTTTCCCCTCAACTTGCTGCAGCTTTCCCATCGGAATGGCTCCTTGTTCCCCACGCTGCACCTCACCCTAAACACATACGAAACACTCCTCACACCGCTCTGTGCCCTGCTTTTGGCAGGCTAACCTGGGCTTTTATCATCTTCTCCTACTTTCTGCAAAAGCAAGGGAAAGGCCTTGCAACACTGCAAGTGGTGTGACAACTCCCGTGCTTCGGTAGGACAAACAGGTACTAGGGAAAAGCACAGGGTGATGATGTTTAGGGAAAAGCACAGGGTGATGATGTTATTCTTTGCCTTGTTCTCTGAGCAAGATCTTGGGAGACTGTTCTTCCAGATAATGAAGAGAAAAAAAACCCAAAATCCTGTAATGTACTGAGGAAATTGGGTATTTTCTGTAAGTCTGGAGGTAAATCACCAGGTGAGAACACTGTTACTAGTTGCCAAATTAATCCCAGCTATGGGGAACAAACTAAACGGAGGGGCTGCCAGTGAAGGCTATGTGACGGAAAGAGTCAAGGGCTGTGGAGAGTAGGTTTATAGGTAGGAAACCTTGGGAAAGCGGCTGTGAATTATTCATGTCTGAAACATTTCTGGCCAGAGTAGACAGTCAACGTCCATTAGCAGCAACCACCTGTGGGACTGGCTGGTACAGCACCATGACTCTGACCAGCAAACGTTTCACAAGGGCGATTGAGGGGGCAGACAGGATTGACCCAGACGCTCCAAAGAGGTTTGTAATTCTCCAGCAGAGACAACCCCTAAAGCTCGGTGAAGGTGTAAAACCACAGCGTCTCCGCACTGTGAAGCATCCAAAGCACACAACCCCTGCGCCTTTTACAAGCTGTTTGTCTGAATTTCATGTGGAAACACTACATTAAATGAATTTTACTACTCCCCATTAGACTTTTAATTCTTAAAGGATTACAAACGGGAAACCTACCTTGCAGAACAAGGGGTTTCTAAACGCATCCTCTTCAAGTCATTTTTATATTGGTAACAGTGGTTTATACCCTTTCAACAGGCCTGAGTGAAAGAACACCACACAATACTACTTAGGAATTTCAGACTGAAAACCCCAATTAGTCTTGTGATGTAAAGCCAGAGGACTAAGTGACTCACACATGCACGTGAAAGGGGAAAAGTTGTATGGGAACCTTACTGGCCAAAATTACCTTGAAACAATTCCAAATTATGCTGAAATGCACAATGACAGTTC